CTTAGGATTGTTGTAAAAATTATAGATGGCGCACAAGCATCTAGCAAGGTAACCGACAGGTAAATAGGTGCTTAATAATGTGACAGAGGGGAAAAAGCATAGACTAGAGATGCCTAATCTTGCTGTCTCAGACTAACTCAGGTCCTTCCACCTGGATAGCAGTTGAGTTTCCATAAAGAACAAAAACTCAAAACTAGGAGTTTGAGTATGGAGTGGTTTAACTGGGACAGAGGAGGATATGGCAGGGAACTAACATATATCACGTATCTATTCCTGATCACCCACTGTTAGTTTTTTATACATTCTCAGTCTGAATAATAACACTTCACAGAGGCACAATTATTTTTATAAATGAGATAACTGATGTTCAGGAAGGCTCAATTGGCCAATGTTAAGTAGTTGAGCAGTGGGGCAGATACCTAAATCTAGTGATTCTACCACATTCTGCCTTAGTGAGGAGAGGTACTCCTACTCTCCCAAATGGGAAACTGGTTTGAATAGGTGAGATCAAATAAATAATGGATATCTGCAGTAGCTTTTGATTACAGTAACTCTTGATTACCACTGAGTTGGTAATCTGTGTTGTGTGGTGTGATATGGGAAGTTTACAGACGGGACTGTCAGAAATTTTTCATAATATTCTAATAAATTGATAAGAAGTTTCGAGGTTAATTATCTTCAAGTATAGTAAAATCTCATTAACTTAGACGACAGTGTATGGAATGTGCAATAATGTATATAGGAACTGAGAAACAAAGAAGATATCTGAAAATGTTCTTCATAATTCCTCCCTTCAGAACTATGACATTCTTAGTGATCTCTGTCTAATGGCCACACTGAATTCTAGGTAACAGAATAATTGAGCCAAAATCACAAAGGGTAGCATTCTGTCAACATGCAGAATATACAAATATGATCCACCATGCCCTATTCCAGTTTTTTGTGGTTCAGCTTCAACATTTTTTCTTTCATTGAGCATCACACTTCATTAAAGCTTTTTGCCAATACTGGAGACACAGAGCTGGGTAAGACCCTTTTAAGAGCTCAGTCCAACTGGGAATCATGAGACTACCAAGCTGTCACAGTTGAGACAGACACAAAAAATAAGGCCAAAATAGAAAGAGATAGAGAATATACATGTCTATGATAAATTAAATCAAAGTGCTGAAAAGCAAAAAAGAATTTGTCAAGAAGCAAGGAGAAGTAATAGCTTTTGGAGACCATAAAGCCTAAGTGTGATGTTGAGGAAATGGATGTTGATTGGCAGGCTGCAGCGTAGGCATGGCTTGAAAGAGTGGTAGGGATTAGATCCTAAAGAGGTATGTTATGCTAAGGAATTGGGACTTTCTCTTGTGAATCAAGATAAAGTTATGACCATGGAACCCTTTGAAGTTATAACATGAAGATTAAATACCAAAATAATACATTTACATTTTTTGATTTAGTTTTCTTAAAATCTAAGAAATAGAAAAAAATTTGAATACTTTTATTTAAAATCCCAAAATGCCAGAGATAAAGTAAATCTTTTATTTTCATCTTATATTTGGTTATCATGAGACATGCAAAACCTTTCAATTTCAATGAGAACAGTGTTTTTGTGTCTTTTTATCACATATCCGCTTAATATTCGGTGTAATGTTGCTAAGTCGGATCCGCATATGAGGCGCGGCATCAAGCCTTTTCCTATATTTCGTTTTTGTTGCAGCATAATATGAAAATCCTGTTTCACACAGGTGCATTGTAGCAAAGGGAAGAAGAACACGAACTGCACGTCTTGCAATGCTTGGGTACTCTTGAATTAAGCTACTCCAAAAGTCATTTAGGGAAAGTTCACTGAAATTTTGTTTCACTTGAGAATCAGATGTTAAATCAATGAGGCTCTCATAGTCACGTGCTACTAATGAGGCTGGTTTAACAGTTACTGTAAATGGATTTCGAACCCAAGCATTATTGTCATTTGTTACAGGGAAATATTTTAACAGAGTAGAGCGCAAACCCCTTAGGTGCTGTACAATGGCACTACAAATATCTTTATCAACTGTAGAATTAATTTCAGTCAAAAAGTCACTTAGTGTAGGAAAACAATCAAAGTTTTCTTCTTCTACAGATGAAGCCCAAAATGCCAATTTTCTTAACAATGATGACATTTTATCAAATACTGTAAACACCGTCACATTTTTTCCTTGCATTGACAGATTAACCTCATTTAATTTAGTAAAAATATCTGCAAGATATGCAAGTCTTAGCAGCCAAGATAAATTTGTTAAACAATCAGATAGTTGAAAAGCAGAATCCATGAAAACCAACAGTTCACGACGAAGTTCAAAAAGTCTTACAAGAACTTTACCTCGGGAAAGCCACCTCACCTCTGTATTTAGAAGAAGTGCTGTGTGCTGGGCACCCATCTCCTCACATAAAATTTTTAGTAGTCTGGATTGATGTGGTCGAGCTTTAATGTAATTGATGATTTGTACTGCCTGATCTAGCACATTTTTCAGAGATGTAGGCATTATTTTAACTGCTAGTGCATGTCTATATAATAGGCAGTGACTACTAGTACTTTCAGGAGCCACATACTTTATCAAGGTGACAGCCTCAGCAATTTTCCCGTCCATTGCCCTAGAAGCATCACTACAAACATCAACACATTTTTCCCATTCAATTTCATGTTTCTGCATAAAACCGTTGATGCAGTTAAAAATTTCTTTACCAGTAGCATTACTTTGCAAAGATTCACATAAAAGTAGGTCTTCCTCAATAGACTTATTAAATCGATAACGAACAAACACAAGTAGCACGGCAAGTCCTGAAACATCAGCTGATTCATCTAGTTGCAGAGAAAACCCATCACAAATTTTCAGTCTACAAACAAGCTCTTCTTCAATATCAGCAGCTAGATCCTTAATTCGACGTGCAATGGTACTGTTTGATAGCTGCACTGCATCTATTTTTTTACTGTACTGTTCATCAAACATCCGCATCACGACATCTTTTGCACAAGGTTTGATAAGCAATTCTCCAACAGTATGAGCCTCTCCACTCAGGGCTATATGGTAACTTACATTGTATGATGCCTCTGTAGCACTTTCATTATCTGTATTGACAATTTTAGGTGTTGGGGGTTTATTATTTTCAGGTGAATCAAGATGTTGTTTGAAAAAGCTTATGTCTTTGTCTTTATATGCAGCGTGTTTAGTTTCCAAATGTCTTCGAAGCTTACTAGGGGCCAAAGAGCTATTTGACAAAATTTTCTTACACAACACACACTGAGCATGAGGAGCATCTCTATTTCCAAAGTAAGTAAATCCGAAAGACAAATAGCTCTCATCATATTTTCTTCTTTTTGGTTTCTTACTAAATGTTATTTTGTTGGAATTGGATATAAATTGGACCCTGGAAAGCTCATCTTCTGATTTTTTAGAAACTGAAGGCTGCAACTGTTCATCTTCACTTTGTAATATTCCAACTTTTTGATCATTTGAATCAGACACAATTTGATAAAATGATTCTACTTCTTGTTTAAGACTTCCTTGTTTCGGCAATAGATCCATAGGCAATGTATTTGTGGTACAAAACATGGTTAGTTTAGAAAAAACATCGAGTATCACAGATTTGTTGAAATTATAAGACAGGATACATAGAAGACGAGCAATCATCAAAGAGATGATATATAGCAACACATCAGTTAATTTGTAAATGCTGCCTATGCATCAATGCGCAGATGGAACATCACACGTTCGTCTATCAGGTGATCTCTCATGCGATTTCCTGGTGCTCTCAGGTATGGCACACCTTTTCTTAAAGGTAGATTATCACATAAAAATAAAAGCTATAGAAATGAGTTTAGTAGTTTTAAACTTATATTTTAAGATAAACTATGAAAAAAATCTATTGTTAGTTAGCATTGACCTTTTTTCTCAGAACGCTTATTTACTTAGATAATATTCTTTAAAACATAATTCGGGAACCATTGGGTTAAGAAATAATGAAGCGCTGATAAGTGTGTTTTTAAGGGACATTGAAGAATATGTCCCATGGCAGGGGTTGGCAAACTTTTTCTGTAAAGGGCCATATGGTAAATATTTTTTTGACTTTATGAGCCATATGGTCTCTGTTACAACTCCTCAATCCGGTAGTTGTAGCATGACAGCAGCCATAGACAGTACATAAAAGAATGGCCACAGTTCTGTTTCGATAAATCTCTATTTACACAAACAGCATAGAGCATAGTTTACCAACTGCTTCTCATGGTACCTTGTAATCTCATTTAGCTTTCTGATGCCTATTGCCATTAGATGCATTCATTGCTGGTACTATTACACACCTGAAGGCCCCTTTCAGGGCTAGCAACTTATGAGCTGTATTAAAACACATACAAACAGCCCTGGCTGGGTGGCTCAGTTCGTTGGAGCATCGTCCCATACAAAAGGTAGTGGGTTCGATCTCTGGTACAGGAGTCAACTAACCAATGTTCTCCCTCCACAATCCTGTCCTCTCTGTCCAGATCAATAAACATACCCTTGAATGAGGATTTAAAAAAAAAAAAAAACCAGTTCAAGTTTTGCAAAACAAAGAATTCTGTTGCATCCTAAATAAACTGTAAACCAAAAGCTACTATTTCTCTGAACTTCAAATTACATAAAGTTATATTATCCAAATTAAGACTAATTCAAAATAATGTGAATCTTACTGATTACTCTGTATCCCATTATACTATAGATGAAAAATTAACCAAGACCTAAAGAAAACATAAACTCTAATTTTAATAGTTTATTCCTATATTTAAAAAAGCATAAATAAGAGGAAAAGTAAAACAAATTTTAGGACCTCTGAAGAATACTAGCTTTATAAATTAAGAAATAGGAATTTAGTGTCTATCCAAATATAGCTACTTTTAATTTAAACTTTATGATTTGGCTACAGAATAAGCTTTGTATTCTCACCTTAGATCCTGAATCAAAATGGTTTTCCTATTAATAGCTAGAGGGTAAGTAAGATACCTGAAATGAGGAGTACTCCCTTCTGGAATCACAGACTCCTTGGCAGCTTGAAATGCAGACTCTTCAAAAGAATAAAATTAAGGGATGGGGTGGAAGGAAAGTAACCAATAGCCTAGAATGAGAAAAATTAAAATTAGATACTGCAAAAGCAGCATTAACTACTTAACTCCAAGTTGACCATCCATTACAATTTTATTTTAGATCCAGGTAGTGCAAATGATTCTGTACTGCAATGCAGATCTTGAACTGAAATAGAAGATGCCTAACATACATAGTAAATATGCTAATATTTTGTCCATTTTAATATCCTGGTCATTTCATTGTTTTGAGATGTTCCCTTACCCACTGACTTCATAGAAATACATTTAAAACTTTCAAAAACTAAACCTAAATTTCAAAAGTACAGCCACACCTTAATTGTTTCAAAAACTAATCATTGAAAGTAATCTAAAATGGGAGCACTCTGTACATGGAAATGTTACATGGAATATGCTTTTTGCTAACTGTTTTTTGTCCCCTCAATAACCAACTCCAAGGTTACTAATGTTTACTGAGTGATGACTGTTTACAATGTGCCACTAACTGCTAAATCCTTCATATAGATTAGCTCATTTAATCCTCAAAACAAACCTGAGAGTCAGGGACTAACAATAACCCCACTTCAGAGATGGAACAAATAGACAGACTTAAGTCACGTGCTACGTTAACACACCTTTTAAGAACTTAGAACCCAAAAAGTTCAACTGCAGAGCCCACCTGCTTAGCCATTACTTGTGTATCCCCGAATACTCTCAATTTCCCAAGCACTAAAATATCTGGTACCAGGAGTTACACAGTGCAGAAAGAAATGGATTACAATGGGTTACAACTGCCATAAAGTCTAGTATCTCAAACTGGCAGCAGCAGAAAGCCCCACTTCTCCATTATTGAGAGCAAAAGAGCAGTAGATTCTCTTTCTTTGAGAATCTTTTCTGTATTTGCATTCATAAACAGGACTTCCTGGGGCTGCTGGAAGCCCTAAAAGATGAGGATCCCTTTCTTCTGCTGCTAGAGGACACAACGGAGTGGGAATCTTGTTTTCAGGCCTCAACCCCACCTCTTTAAAGGTGCTTCCCTGGGTCTCTTAGGACAAAGAATCTGGTCTCCCTTGAGAGCAAAATTTCTATTCCACTCCCTGAAAAGGATGGGGATGGGGTGGGTGGGGGCACGGCTCCCTCACTTTTTATCTCTTCCGGTTAAAAAGGAAAGCAGCACAATCTCTTCAACCCCCACCCCCAGGTCGTTCCATCTTTGAATACCCTGAGGGGCAGGAGGGCTGGGTTGGCGTGCAGTCCATTCAGAAAGCCTATGCAGGAGGTAGGTATGAACATCCCTTACAGCACCTAAATGCTTTTAGCAACGGTCACCTTGATGTGTGGCCCGGGACAGCCATCCCTTAACTCCTCCTTGTCACTGGTGCGCGAAGCCCACGGACCGCCACATCTGGGTTCGCTTCCTGTCGGAGCCCACCCTCGCCTACACAACTCTTCCCTCCCGTCCCCGGACAACCGCCTCAGCTCACAACCACATGAGCATGTCTCAGCACCTCACACTATCTGTCTACTTCATCTCCATCCATGATAGAGAGAACGGTCTATGCTGCGGCTGGGCTGCAGAGCAGCGCCGCGGTCCCCCGCTGAGCCTGCGGCCGCCATTTTAGACAGCTCTAGGCAGCGGCCATTTCAGAGCGCACCACTTAGCCGCCGTGGCGGCTCTGGTCCTCACCTTCACCGAGGCCTGAACAGGGTCAAGAGCCAGTCGTCGCAGACTGGGGTGAGGCGGGAGGAGGGGGGGAATGAAAAATAAAACAGGAAAGGATTCGGGGACAGGGTGATGCTCTCAGTTCTGGGATATCGCCTATGCCACCTCCACAGAGATCCGATTCGCGGCTGGCACGGTCGCTCTTCTGAAGATAAATTTAGCACCCTGGAGCACCCGAAATTACAGTCTCCGCGAGCGACTCCTCCGCTGCCCAATCAGCGCCAGAGTTGCTCCCCGACACCAATCCACGCTGAGCAGTGGGGCGGGACCAAAGGAAAGGACCAAGCACGGTTGAGGCGTGGCCTAGCCGCAGCTACGGCGCTGAGTTCGTTTGAGCTGTGAACTGAGGTGCTGTCAGACGTGAAGCGATTGTTTTCAAACTTCCCTGGGCACAAGTCAGCCTGGACCCCGTTTAGAAGGACTGGGTGCAGATACGGAATTTGTGATCCTGTAAGGCCAGACTGGACTCGAGAAATCTGCATGCTCTTACACTGGCGCTCCTCCCGGGCGGAGGTGACTTGTGTGGGTTCCAGTGTCATAAAGGTGCGCGTAGAGGATCGAGAGCTGCTCGGGCTTATCACGACCTCTTTGTTCTTCCAGCCGCACCCCAGGTCCAAGTTACGCAACTGCCTTCTCTTTTCCTTGTTTTCCAACTGGAATCCGAGCAGAAAACGCCCTCTCCCTTCTCCGCCCCTCCCCGATGCTGGCGTGTCAGGAACCCTAGCAGGCCGGGCGGAGAGCTGAGCCTGACACTCTTCGGGGTACTTCTCTCTCTAGAGCTCTTGGGTAGTAACTCCAAAAGGGGTGGGAGAGACTCCTTGTAGGCGTAGGTAGGGATAGCGGCGTCTCCTGCTCTGTCCTGGCACCTCCTACAAGCTGCACCCGTCGCTGAAGGAACGAACGCCCGGACGTCTGCACCCACAGAGCCGTCCTCTCAAACACTCAGTTTGCTAGCTGCAGCATTCTGATGTTTTTTAAAAACCATAGCCCTACTCCTCCTTTTAAAAACAATACAGCAAAAGCCTGCGAGTTGAGTATTTTCGTTGTGTGTGATCCGTCGTGGAGACCTGGGGTTTTGTTTTTCCACACTGGCACTTTGAAATATTTACACTTGGAGGGAATTGTTAACGTACATTGTGTTAAACAGTAGGTCCCATTGTTTGCAATATTTTAGCTTTTCGAGGTCCCGTAGAAATAGCCAAGTGAAAATTGGATCATGTTTTCAGGCACCGCACCAATGACAGAAAGCACCCAACTTAAGGTCAAAAGCCAGGCAGCTTTTGTTTTTCTTAGAAATGCTTCTTTGGTGTATGAATAAATTTCGTGAGCAGAGAAAAGCTTAACCCTTAACACAATTTTCAGGACTGCTGCATAGATGATTTCCTAGGACTCATAATAGAAGCCAACATTTGGTTCAAAAAAGTTTTAGGGCCATCTGACACCTTCATATCTTGGCCTATGTTTTTCATTATTATTTTTAAATTATTCCCATTAAGTCAGTTTTATTTAAACTTTAACCACAAAGGTGGAAATTATTTTTGGGAAGGGGTGCAGTTTTACTCGAAGAACAAAGAATTTCATTTTATAATTGCAGGAGTTGTCTAACTTCATCATAATGTTGGAATAATATCCCATATTTTCACGTGTCATATTTCAGAAAAACCTTTCACATATATGTTTCCAATTTAATTTTCACACATCTTGTTTTCATCTTCATGAATTGGAAAAATCCAAAACATTCAGCTGATAAATTCAAGAAAAGTCAAGGCTAGAATTTAACCTAGGTCCTAAAATCTGAAGTCTGATAAGGCACTTGAAACATAAGAACTTTTTCTTAATCGCTGTCAATTAATTATTATATAGAATATTGGGTTGCTGAAAAAGATGAGAAAATACATAGAAAATGTAGAACTCAGACAAATAATGATAATACTATATAGCTAATATTTATTGATAAAATGTCTGGGCCAGGGGCTGTTCTACACACTTTCTAATGTAATATCTCATTTACTCTTCACAAAAACCCTATTTTACAGATAAGGAAATTGTGCAGATTGGTAGATAACTCATCCAGGTTCCCAAAGCTCTGGTAACAGCATACCTAGATTAGGTGCAGTGCTGGTTGTGGGAACTACAAACCATGTGTGTCTGGGTGGGGTGTGTGTCTGCAAACTTGCAAATAAGACTACAATAATATATTGGCTAAGCAGGCAGGCCATTACAAGGGAACTCAGTTTGTTACTTAGGGTTCAGGTAAAGTCATCACTGGATATAGTGACAAAAATTTCGAATGATAGCCCACTTTTGCAGTTTCAGTTGCTATAAGAGGTCTGGGATGGTAATTCTGCTCAAGTTGGTTGCATGAGTTAATTTGGGTTGCAGTTAGGTTTGCCAGAAGCAGATGATGAGACAGGGAGCTCTGGAGCCAGTATTGTAGATCAGACCGTCCCACCTCTGGCCTTTATACTCTTCCCTTTGCAGGTTAGCATATGTGGGCTCTGGGAGGGGCAGGACTGCAGCTGAGGCAGACCCTGAGTGAGCTGACAGCTGGAGGCCATCTGCTGATCACAGTAGGGCCCTTGAGCAGGGTAGCGAGTCCTTTCTTGAAGGATCTAAGTGGCACATCTCCATGTCTGCCACAATGTGTAACCTTTATATAAAGGAGGTAAATTAGTACAGTTTTAATTATTCCTGTGAAAGTTATCATTATTGTGGTGGTGTGTGCTTTGTCACATTTTAAGATGTATGAACCATTTAAGAGAATTTTGTAACCACATGTATGAGATTGTATTGCTATTAGATTTACAAGAATTACATAAGTGCTTACAAAGATTTCACTGGCTAGGTGTTAGCTATATTACATTTGTAATTGTAATTTAAAATATCTAAGAAAGTTTGATTAACTGAGTATGCAAATTATGTTAAATATTTAAGAAGTATTTACTCTGTTAAGCTTGTGAATTAGTTAAATCATAGAGAATAAGCAAAGTGTCCATTTTTTATGCAAAGATTGAGATTTATAAACAGACTAAACAAGATTTATAAATTGAGCTTAAAGGCTTAAGAAATACAAGTTTATAATTTTAACATATTTTGCCTATTAATAAATTAGTCATGCCAATTATCAATTTAAAATTTTTTATTTGTTGATTTTAGAGAGAGAAAGGAAGGAAGAGAGAGAGAGAGAGAGAATCATCAAGTTGTTGTTCCACTTATTTATATATTCTTTGGTTGATTCTTGCATGTGCCCTGACCAGGGATCAGGGATTGAACCCACATGAACCACATCCTTGGCGTATGGGGATGATGCTGTAACCAACTGAGTTACCCGGCCAATACCCAATGATTAATTTTTACAGTATTTTTTATTCACAATCTGGAATTGCACTATTCCCTTTATGTTCACTGATTCTCAAAACTATAGCGTGAGCCCTGACTTCCCACTTGAACTTCAGTTCTAGATTTCAAAGTCTGTAGACTTTCTATTGAATACATACCAATAGCACAGATTCAGCATGTTCAAAACTCTATTAATTCTCTCCCAATATTTGTACTTTTTCAACCTCATTTCTGTGAAAGATTATTCTTTTAATATTTCAAACTAGCAAATGTGACATCAGCAGTTCCTGTAGACTAGCCTTCATATTCCATCAGGCATCAGATTGTTACTTTTTTCTTTCTTAGCTTCTACTTCCATCCATCACTGTTATATATTCTCTAGATCAGGCTCAAGAAATGTTTCTTCTAAATTATTGCCACAGCTTTGCTAGCTTCTGATCTGTTTTCATTTAATCATTTTTGCATACCAATCTTCCATATTTTAGAACCTTCAGTGACTCACAAATTCTTCCTTGTCATGGCATAGAATTATAAAATTTTAGAGTTGAATAAAATCTTTAGAAAATAATACAATGTAATCCCCCTTTTTCCCTCAGTTTAAAGGAGAGGAACAATGAATCCCAGAGCTATCACTTGACTTCGATATCACATTGATAATTGCTGACAAAGCTGGAATAAATGTCAAGGTGTATGGAACATGCCTTAGAGTTCCTTTTTATCTCCCATTGTACTTGATGTTAAACTATTCATTTGGCAGATAAACTAAATTTTTGTTGCCATGTAAATTAAGCCATCTTTAACTCTGTTAATAAGTCCTCTTTCTGTTGCAAATGACAGAAATTCATTCCATAAGCAAGAAAGTTAATTTTGGGGCTAAGATTACCAAAAAGTTGATTGGTATAGGAATGGAAGGGTTCAATGGCTCAAATGATGTTGTCAGGGCTCTGTGTGACTCTCTCTGTTTTGATAGGTCCTTTCTGCGTGGCAGCATGATGGCCTCTACCATCCCAAAGGAGCATCTTCCCCAACAGCACGGAAAAAAAGTTTCCCAGAAAGGTCTATGATTCACTTTGGGTTATGTCTATGAACAAAACAGTGTCCAGAGAAGGACAGTGGCCAACCTGGGACACATATCTTCTTTGGTTTTGAGAACATGAGTTTACTCTAATTCACCACCATTATCTCACGGAAAGGGTGATGGCCAGTCCCTAAAAGGGAAGGGATCCAGAAAATTGGAAGATATGAAATTTACTCCATTATTGTATCTCTTTGGTCAGCCTTTTCTCTCCAATT